TATATATATATATGTTTATATATATATATATATATATAAATTTTCACAGTTTATACCAATTGTAGTAGATATTCGTTTACGCGCGAACGTGCGCGCGTGGGTTCGTACATTCGTTCGTACGTGCGCGTGTGTATAAGCGCACTGCATTAAAGAAGAATTATATACAGGACATTTGTTCAAGAGACTCTTAACGCCGACGTCAACAGACTTGACCAGCCTCTTGATTTTCTGTCTAGCTATACGAGCCTGCACATAAACATGGGAGCCTTGATGCGTAGAATACACACAAATTCGAGCTACAGATACGCTAATATGGGGCCACCGCGGCAACCGCTGGCTCCCTCTTTATAACGGTAGTGTTGCGTTACGTGTCGCACAACGCCTGCCTCCACCCCCAAAATTACAGGTTATCTTCTTTCTCCGCGTAACCAACATAGCCTCGAGTTGGAAGGTGTTGCCCCCAAACAACGCAACCCGATCTGTTCATTAGGGCACGGGGCTGCATTGTTTCACGCGTGACCCCCAATGCGACGGCATTCTGGTAGCGGGCGTGCCTCTTTAGAATCCTCGGGCCGTCGTTCGGAACATAATTGGAAGTTGCCTTCTGCGCTCAGCACGTCCGTCTTTGCGTGTTATAGCGTCGCTTTCTGCTAATTGGGGCGACTAGATATTTATAGTTGCTAGCAGGGCAGGCATACCGTTGCAGGCGACAGTGCATCGCGCTATAGTCGGACGCAGGTCAAAAGCTGCATACGGCAGTCGGTAACCTGGGAAACATGGTACAACAATTATTCTGGCTGAGAAACGTATACGTTCACGCGCTCGATAGTCCAGCGAGATCCGAGAAGTGAGTTGGCGGTAAAATGTAATCTGCATATGCGCGGCTATGAAAAAACGCAAAACTATAGATAGAAATTACAATGGAAAGACGCGTTTTTCTATATCGACTGTAATGCACATGGAATAGCCGTCGGCATGCGTCTGAAAAATTTCAGGACGTCTATCATTGCTAATGTGTTATTGTATTTTAATACTTCGAAACAGTATCCTAAATTGCATTACATTTGCATTCGAATTAGTTTTAGCAACGCATCATTGGCTCTTTGCTTATGTATAATAAATGTCAACATTAGCATAACATAAGCAAACGATTTCAATTTAGTTATTACAATGGAATAATGCGATAACCGTTTCGATGCGTATATTAAATTTGATCTTATATTGAATTTAAGCTCTATTCGTGAGTGTACAAATCAGGCTTATTGTACAGTTCTAAATATAATCTTCCTAAATATTCGATAATTTCAATCGTATGAAATGTTTAATTTGCGAGTAACCTAGTGATAAAATATGAACATGTGTTGTCACATTTCCTATCAAGTTTAGTCATTATAGTGTTACTCACTTTGCCGACAACAATACAGCCACTATACCTACGTACTCCATTTCCATTATCCTTATCCGCCAAGCTGTCAAAATTTTCAATGCTGGCCTAACGCGTATGGACAAAGAAGAACTATTCCAGCGCAATTTAAGCTAATTACGCCAGAAATGTCTCCGAGTGTTCCGTAGCGTGCGTCTGCGTATGGACCATTAGTCTTCCAGCATCTGTATCTGACACGTAGCCTCGCACGAAAGAAAGATTCGCACTCTCACAAACCTCAACCGCGAACTACTCGAGCTAATGACATTGTGCTTTAATAGCAATAAACACGAAACGTTCCCGCTACTATATTCCGGTTTCAGCAAACGAATGAAAGCTGTGAATAATTTAGAGTTGTCCTCCGTGTGTTCCAGAAATTGAGCCTTCCTCGCTGCTTGCGTGGACAATGTGAAATAATTGGACGGATTTGGGTTCAGCGCTAGTCCATTAAGGCCCTGCATCTATTAGCTTTGCATATTCGAGGATCGCTGCATCACAGCATAAATCTAACCGCAATATTAACCATGGTGATTTTAAAAGAGGACTGCGCGTAGCATCTATGAGCGAGGAGTGGTTTGCGAACGCGAATTATAAAACTGGGCCGTTTGTTTGATGATACACGCACGCGGTGAAAGCAATGTCACGCACACGCCGGCTCGCGCGACCATAGCGTGGTCGTGTGTCTATACGTAGAATTGTCTCTACAGGTGACCACTTGTGCGGGAATATCCGGCTCCTGTAGGTGATAAGAATGTGCTAGGAGATAATGATCGCCCCGACTACTCACATCTCCGCGTACTTACATCACAGGGTGGTGGCGCCACAATTCCCGATAGCAATCAGTGTTAATCCAGCTCATCGTTTGCGCAAGCTTTATGCAATGCTGAGTTTTCATTCCATTTTCTATATAAAATTATACGGTGATGCACAGAATGTAATTAGCGTTTATGCTCAACCCTTGTACGATTGTAAAGTTTAATGTTGTCTGTGAGAGATCAGTATAACTGTAAAGCGCATGACCATCCCAGCATGCATGTGCTTCATGTTCTTTAAACGAAGTTATGATAATACTCCAAATGCTGCTTTCCGGTAACAAATGGAAGCGTAATCATTTAAAAATATTCGCAAAGATAAAAGCGCGATTGCGAGTGAATTGCAGCTAGACTAGCAATGATCTAATCACAAAGAAACTATAAAACTGTTTAAGATGTAGCATAATATCATGCTAACTGAATAATAAAGACATGAGAAGAATCCTGATAATTATTGTAATTCTAATTAAGACCCCGTGGACCTATATGCAGCACCTGTATAATGAATTTAAGCAGGAGCGCTTCGTTGTTAGATGCATACTCGTTATCCCGTACCGGATGTTTTCGAGCTCCCTCCGCAGTATGAATTGATTTATTGCTCCCCGAATGTAAAATTTTACTGCCTTTAGATACGACGTGTAGTGTGCTGTATTTTAGCCCAGTGCATATAGCAAGCAAGCAAGTTCTCCCGCTAGACAGAAAATAGATGACAAAGCGGGCGACAAAGCAATAGTTAGGTACTAAATTGCAGCGTCTAAAGATGTGGTATTATCTTGTCTCGGAGTCTGGATAAATTCTGGACTTTGGGTAATGGTGGTAAATTGCTGCTCCCTTTTCGCGGCGAGTACAGGACGTATGAGTGCGTTTTCCAACATTACCGTTCCATTACAGACAGATTACAAGGTGTCTCGGCATTTGTTTTAGCTGTCGACGGCAGCGGCATTAAGTAATTACTCAGACCAACAGGTGCGCCAATTAGGCCTGTCTGCAGGCCCTACATTGCGCACTATATGTAGGAGCTGCAGGTGGGCCGAGTTCGGGCGTCTGTAGGGCGTAACAATATCGGAATATGTGTTATTGTCGGCCGCTGTGCATTTGATATTGCAAGACATGAGTAACTCCCGCTGCTTGCCGCTTGTACTCCCGCAGGGAGAACGTTCGGAGCAGACGTGCTCGGCAGAACAAAATCCAACCATCCATGCATCAATCCATGCATCCATCCATGCATGCATGCATGCATCCATCCATCCATCCATCCATCCATCCATCCATCCATGCATGCATGCATGCATCCATCCATCCATCCATCCATCCATCCATCCATCCATCCATCCATCCATCCATCCATCCATCCATCCATCCATCCATCCACCCCGAAAATAGTGCCGTGTATACGCTTCGACAATGCCTCTGAGTCTCTCACTTTCTCTCTCTCTCACTCAGTGCTTAGGTATTCAGTGACTTGCACTCACTGCTTAGGTATTCTCGAGCAGCGATCGTAAGCACTACGGGAGGGTTTCGTGAAGAATTTGCGTTGAACGTTACTCGGCTCTACGTATCTCTACGGACTCGCTCATAATGCGGGTTCCATGTCGCGTGTATGCATGCTTGTAGATTCACTGCACTCGCTGTGGCCAATCCATATGGCCAAACCCGTGCCAGTCCAAATTACTGTACGCGATGTAATAGAGTTTCAGTCCACTAGAACTATTTAATATATTCTAATACGTAACCACATCGCTTAGTATTTTTTAATTATAAACATAATTATATGCATCCCACTTATAGTGCTGCCACGCCATGATCCGGCATTATGAAGTGAATTAAATCTATGTAAGTGGGTGAAACCAGGTCCGAAGCATCTGGGGAAGGGCCAATAGGGCGGTCCTTAGATTTCTGAAAAAATCGATATTGAAATCTAATAATTGTAAACAACCATAAAATGAGTGTAAATAATCATGTATGTCATCGCTGAAACGTTCGTTCCACACCCACCCCGCCGCCGCACTACGCACGCTGACTGGGAGCAACGCCCCACGCTCACCTCTACTCAGCCGCGTCAGGTGAACTGCCGATGAATTTGCTGCGGCTAGGGTCCCGACACAGAGCTAGTCCATGTCGACTGCTGCTGCTTCTGCTTCATGTTTGTTTCGTTTTTGATCGCAGATGGCGGAGACTCGGTGCCGTGTCCGTTCGGCGGACCGTTCGAGTTTTCGTACGACAACGCGTTCGGCGAATGCTGGGATCCGGCATCCCGTATCGACATGTGTACCGACAACACGAAGCTACGGCTCAGCTACCAGGCGTGCGCCGACATACCGCTATCCGAGCATAAGAGTAAGTATATATATATATAAACAAAGTCAAATTATAGAATAAACTTTACTTATATATATATAAATATATATATATATCAAGGTATTATTAGGTATTATTAGCTCTTGATACATATTATATATATATGTATATATAACAAATTTAAATAATAGGTTAATGGTGTTTAAATACGCGAGCTTGTACATCTCTTCATCAGGCAATTCAGCAGACATTTGAATTGAACCGTAATAATATTACGCGCACACACACGCATACACACATCGGCACGCGCGATAGAGTTACGAACTCGGGCTTCATCTGTGCGCGGCTTGACTAGCTATTTAGAAATTCTCATCAAGTAATATAGTAGTCCGCACATTGACCTCGTCGTTTTCACAAAAACTTTGTCGCTTTTCAAATTTTCTCACTAAAAACGCGATTTTAAAGCTATTTTAGGCGATAGTATGTAAGGAAATCTCGGAGCGCAATAAAGTTACTATTTTATATTGCATATATGACCCGAATAGGGCAATAAATGCCACGAACGGCACCGATGTCGTGTGTGTAATATCGGACGGACGTTCAGTACATGTGCAGTACGTATACTGCGTTGCGCAACCCGCGCTCGTGATTGCACAGAGTGTGCGCGCGTCCTGCGATGTCCAGGTGAAAATCTGATCGCTCGTCAACGCAAAGGTGTCAATCGCATTACGGGGACACGGGGACCAACTGAGAAGCGTTGGAGATGACACCTACTGTTCCGCGTACTTTATTCTCAACACTTCGCCCGCTAATCTATCTGCGCGAGGAGACACGCAAAGCGGATTATCGGATCCCGTAAGTCCGATAATGCCGGAAAGCTGTCAATCTCGCCACCGAGTCGCCGTACACTGGCGGAAACGACCGACAAAGAAGATCGGTGACGGTGCATTGTTGCTGCCTGATGCGTGCAGTTGTTTTGTTCGGGTATAAATCTAACAGCTGGGAGATTAATCTATTCAGTGAATACAGCGCCACCATTATAGAAATAGCTCGGCGTAAAACAGAGGGACAATTTCTATCGGCCGGAGCAGGGCAAAGGTTCGCATCAACGTGTATCAGTGTGTGCGCGCGAACGTCTGTGCGTGCGTGCACCTGGGCGTGCTTGTGCATGCGTGGTTGTATATGTGTGTGCGTGTGTGCGTGCGTGCATGCGTGCGTGCCTGCGTGCGTGCGTACGTGCGTGCGTGCGTGTGTATGTGTGCTTGTGCGTGTGTATGTGTGCGCGTGTGCGTGCGCGTGTGTACGTGTGTGTGGTGAGGAGATCAGATGAAGTTCACAACTAAGATGACAGATATAACGCATAAATCATATTACACAAAAGTAAATGTCAATCTTTACTAAATAATCGAACCATGCTATATATCATTCTCTATAAACCTTATAAGGTCAAATAAGTTATACCATTGTTAACCTGTTACATTATACAATTCTTTACAATGCTAGGCACACACACGCGCGCACACACGCTCACACACACGCCATATGACTGCTGCCTGCGTCTAACAATATTATAATCTTACTTATATACGGCGGCGTGGGTATAGAACCCATCGCTCACTGCACGGGAAACAGCCAGCATTTCATCTTGGTGTAGTTAGTCTTTTAAAGATAAAGCAGCACGCGTTAAACTCGGCGGTGGCGGTGGGCGTCCGCCCACAAAAGCTTATTACGTTAACGATCTTCGAATTGTTCGTTACGGAGAAAACGTGATTGAGGAGCGAGGCTGTAACGGGAAGCCTGCGTACCATGCAATGCGTGCTGCGTTGCTAATATACATGGAACGTATAGCCAAGGCAATGTTAACCACGGAGACCGACCCGACGCGTATACTACCACAGTGTACGTATCGTAAGCCCTTACAGACATACGCCGTTCAATTGAAGCCATGCAGGAGGCGGCAGAACGCTTTCGCGCTGATACATTGCAAACAAACAAGATATTATTCGATCATTGCGGTCCGCGTCTAAAAGTATTTATAAAAGCGTCTAAAAGTATTTATATAAGCGTCTAAAAGCGTCTAAAAGTATCTCTAAAAGCGTCTAAAAGTATCTATAAAAGCGTCTAAAAGTATCTATAAAAGCGTCTAAAAGCGTCTAAAAGTATCTATAAAAGCGTCTAAAAGTATCTATAAAAGCGTCTAAAAGCGTCTAAAAGTATCTATAAAAGCGTCTAAAAGCATCTAAAAGTATCTATAAAAGCGTCTAAAAGCGTCTAAAAGTATCTATAAAAGCGTCTAAAAGCATCTAAAAGTATCTATAAAAGCGTCTAAAAGCGT